CCCAAAACCCCAAAACCCCAAAACCCCATGTTGGAAAATTATGAAATCTCAATAGCATAATTTTAGAATTTAAAACTTCATTCAATAAGTTAAAACATTATCCTTATTTTGATCGTCTATATTTTCATTATCAATGACTAATTCCTCATTTTATTATTCATTTACAAGAGCCAACTTGATATCTGACAAATCAGCTTGCAATTGATCAATCTCTGTTTCATCAAGCTTTTAAGAAGATTCAACCAATTCATCTTCAAATTTAGGAGCATTCTCATCACAAAAAGTGTATTATTGCCAAGCTTTGAACCAGTCCAGAGAAATCACATGATACTTCTCACCTTCTTTTTAGGGAATACAATTTGTGTTTTTAATCATCTCCATTATCTATTTTCCTTGTGCTCTTCTTTCTTCTATAGATAGAAGCTTAACCTTAGGTTGTTTTTTAATAGCAGGATATAATATTCTCATCTGTTCTTTAACATTTTCTTCAAAAATTCTAAAACCACCCTCATTTTTATACTATCTTCGTACATAGAGCATTCTTAAAACTTCTTCAGAGTGACTTGCCCATGATTCATCGGCTGTATTCATTAAGTAACAATAAAGGAATCTTAGATTATCTTGGAATAATTTCTCAAGTATCTCTTTCTCTATGCTATTTAAATATCTCTAGGCCAAAGTCGTAACTAAACCAACATGTAATCCCATAATTAAATCTAGAGTCTTCTCGTTTACTCTGCCTTTTTGAAATGCTATCCTTAGTGAGTCTAATATTTGCTAAGCTTGTTGATCCTCTAAGACAATAGATTTTTCAAAACTTATATGATTATTATTAGCTTGATGCTCCTCTTGCAGTTTCTGAGTGTATTCCTCTACTCTTTCAGTGAAGGTCAATCTTTCTGCTGGTCTGACTTTGTCGATAAATTCCATTTAATAATTATGTTTTCTCCATTTGAATAAAAATTAGTCAAAATTATTGACTCTAGGGGTTTTGGGGTTTTGGGG